TGCCTGTGAGGCGTGGCACCAACAGTCTATATACCAATAAGCTTACCCAGAAAAGAACAAAGAAACGGATGTGCACACAAAACTCAACAAGTTTTGGAGCAAGATGAGGATCCAGATGTGGATGAATAACTAATATTTTCCTCAAGAGTTTACCGCCGTTTAACGCAAAGAAGAAGAAGACACACCTATAAGAGAGAGAGAGAGAGAGAGAGAGAGAGAGAGAGAGAGAGAGAGAGAGAGAGAGAGAGAGAGAGAGAGAGAGAGAGAGAGAGAGAGAGAGAGGGGGGGGGGAGAATGTTCAAATGTGGTCTCTGGAAAAAAAAAACTGCGACAACTGAAATGATTAACTGTAGCAGAGACAGACCAAGAGAAATATTGTTTGATGGTCCAAGATTATGTCATAGAAGTATGTTATCTGAAGAACTGATCCGGAACATTCATGTACTATGGGCTAAATTAACACATTTATATCAAGAAATTCAGTAATCCAGACGAAACTATATATATATATATATATATATATATATATATATATATATATATATATATATATATATATATATATATAACTCATTTCTGTGATTTATAAGATGAAAACTGTCCCGACTGTAAAGCAACAATGTTTGCAATGAGACCTGTCACTGTTCTATTACATCGGCAGTTAAATCTGTTAAAACAAAACTCATGTGGTGAAATATTTTCAAAAAGGCATTTGTGGTTTGGGAGTCACCGAGAAGCTATTAATATGAAAGGAATGAAGTATCCATAGTATAAAGAACACTGGGTCATCATCATCATGTAGCAGGTCCTTTGCAGAACGTCGCTCTCATCACAGTCTGCCTGAAAGAAACTCGATCTCTCGCCAGTTCTCCTGACTTATGCACTTTCATACTCAAGGAGTCACTTATATCCCGTGCCCATCTTCGTGTCGGTCGGCCCCTGCCCCTCCTTCCTGGTATCATGCCTTCTGCTATATTTTTTTCCAATCCGTCGTGTCGCTTCTATTGACCAAGATATTTCAGCTTCCGAGACAGGATGCTGTTTATTAGACAATCTTCCTTGATGTTCAGATCTTTCAAGATGTCAGTATTTCTCCTCTTCTTTGTCTAAGATATTCTGAGAATCTTTCTATAGCATTTCAGCTCAAAAGCCCCACCGGGTACCTCATCTTATTCCATCAGTGTTTCATTTCAGTGCATTTTAGGTTGTCTAGGTATATGAATAATCATTGTTCGGTTATGTCCTTATATATCACATGGGGCTCACAGTCTGTTCCCTCATCCTACTCTATTCTGTGTAGTTCTTTTGATATTATGGATGGGATTCAATTCAACACCCTTGGCTTCTCCCATCAACGCTCGTTTTATGAGAACTTTGGACTTCCCCGCTTCTTGTACGTTTATTTCAAATGTTAACACCTGTCTGGTGGATCTATTAGGTACACAGTGATAGCCCTGGGATTAACAAAAATAGCATTTCTGCTACCTTTCCACAATCCCAAATTAATGATCTCCTATTTTTATGCACCATTTTTAGGGTCTGATTGATTCTCTAGTTAAACTTTGTGGCTGAGGTGAGTTTAACAATTTCATAATCCTCAAATACCACAGTGGACAGTTTATTTCAAAGCATCGAGTTTTTTTGAAGACTGTAGGAGAGTCATACAATGGAAGAAGTGTGACTGAATATTTTCAAAGACAATAGTAGGCACTGTAGCCAACCAGCCATGTCGAGACGGCAAGCAATTATTATTTTTTTTTCATTCTCGAATGTTCAAACTGATACTTTGTAAAGTTGCTTTATGACAACTGTCCGAATTTTCTGCGTTGTGTCTCATATATTCAAAACGCCATTTATAGCAAAATGTTTGATTATTTTCAACGTTTAACACATAATTTCCACGGCACTTCTTTTATTTAGTGTCCACTCTATGGAGTTTATATACATACCCCGCCCATCGTCCAGGGAGTTTCTCCTTTTCCTGATTGATTCCTTCCGTTCCCGGATCTTTTAGTTTATCTTAATTACTAAATTACTTCCACGCAACTCACTGAGAAGTCAGCAGAATTATAAACCAACTGGCACATTTTAGAATTGACACGGAGATCTGCTAATGCACATGATGATGATGACTATGTTCGCATCGCAAAATTTGAAATGAACATCCTAAATCAGTACTGAAGTTAAAGTATTACCTAAAGCAGCCAAAACAAGGAATTGTTATCAAGGGTACATATAGAAAGGACAGAAAATAAGAGAAGGAAGGTTAATGTGGTGTAGCGAGGTCACCACACCTTCCCAAACGAATAACATGTGATTATAACCAATTTGCCTGGTTGGCATATAATAGGGTAAACTGCAACAGGATCAACATTAAGCGATAAATAGCTGGATTTTATAAAAATAATATGTTTTACTTCACGAAGAACATATTATAAACAAGTCGCGGGATGTGTTACTAGCATCTGTTTCGCAGGAAGAATTATAAACCAGAAATATTTTATTAGAAATGTCTGGTTGCTGTTGGAAAACCTTCACCATTCTCCGGAGAGATTATGCTATTTATAGATATATTCTATCTGCCAGCTTGCCATGGTGCATTATATTCGGATAACACGATTATTACGATATCAAATTATATAACTTATATATACCATGGCAAGCTATATATAATATAAGCAATGCAATATCACATTACGTAAATTATTTATCAGCACAATTTCATTATTAAAAGATTCAAAACTGCTATATATCCCAATTATACATGTTGAAATAAGATACTGTTCTAACTACTACTACTACTACTTCTACTACTACTACTACTACTACTACTACTACTACTACTACTACTACTACTACTACTACTACTACTACTACTACTACTACTACTACTACTAATACTACTACTAATACTACGACGACTACGACCACCACTACAACCACAACTACAACTGCTAGTACCACTGCTGCTGCAACTACTACTACTACTACTACTACTACTACTACTACTACTAAATTATACAATCATTTTAAGAGAAATAATTTAATCTTCAACTGTGAAATTTAATTAGCTTTCTTTGTGAAATTCTATGCAGTCTGTGGTAATTTATGCAACAATATCTTTTTCAATAATAGAATAATAGCCTTTTTTTTTAAATTTCAGTATCGGATTGTCAATCACACTTTGTCAATTTAATCTTGCATACATAGCTAAATAGTTCAGTTTCATTATATATATATATATATATATAATAGTTTCGCACCAATTATTTGAAATGCAATCATGTGAATATGAACACTAAATAGCACTGTTAAACTTAACATTGTTACCAATGCTTTGCTATCATTGTCAAACATGGACATTGTCTTCAGAAGACAGAAGGAAAAGTCACGACAGAAATGAAATGTTTACGTTCTATGCTAGGTGAAACGAGAAACGATCGACTTAGGAACGGTTTTTTTTTTAGGAGGAGAGTTGGCACAGAACCAATAATGAACTTTACTGGCACACAACAAAAGAAATGGTTTGGCCATGTAACAAGATTGGCAGCAGACAGGGCACCACAGCGAGATATGCTATAAGTATACAGGTACAGCGACAACAGAACCAGAGGTCGACCACGCAGAATATGGACCGCATAAATATCAGAGGCACTGAAAAGTGGCTACCAGAAGGGCTCGTTCTAGAGATATATTCCTGCCATGACACAGCGAGGCATTCTAGGATTAGAGAAAAGATAAAGAAGAATTTTATTTAATTTCCATTTAAAGACGCATTGTGCTGTCTGTGTTTGTGTTAGGAACATTGGTATTTATGACGTCGAACATGCAATTAGAACATGTGCTGACTGGAAATGGCGATAGCAATGAAAGAGATCAGTTTGCGACCACACTTAATATACAACAAGTGATCTGGGGTATCACTATTCTGTCTTACTACATATTAACACTTAATATGCCAACCTATGTGCTTGCGATGTGCTGTTTATCCCCCCCCCACCCCCTTTGTGGTTCTCAAGAGCTTTTTTTTTTCGTAGCATGTTTTCTATTGTCAAAATTGTGTGTATATGTGTGTATGTGTGTGTGTGTGTGTGCAGCACAAAATGTACTCATGAAGGAGAATTCGGTGTAGTTCAAATTTCTTGCAGTATAGTAAATAGTGTACAAATTTTGTTTCTGGCGATTAGAACTGGTGTCTTCTATTATCTTGGCATAAGCAATTTCAACTTGCAGTTTCAGTAATTATTAAGTATAGCATAGTCCAAGGATGCCTTTGATCTTAACCTTGATCTTAATCTGGTAATCTTGGCCATGTGACAAGATTGGCACCAGACAGGGCGCCCCAGCGAGATATGCCATACCTGTCTATACAATAATACGGTCTTCGTGCTATGATATACATGGAGTTGTAAAAGTGGCCCTGAAACTACATGCACTAATTGTGTTTTATATATATATATATATATATATATATATATATATATATATCTATATATATATATATATATATATATATATTGCAACACGATCAAGTCAGATTCGACATCTTTGTTGGGTGCGATTCATTTGCCTTCGTATGCCACAACATAGAAATATCGTCTGAAAAGAAGGAAAGGTGCCATAACAGTGTTATCATAATTAAAACTTGCAGCTGGAGGCGGCCGTGTTAAGATAAAGATGAAATGCTCAAGGGAATTATCGGTTTAGCTCAACCGAAGCTTCAGTTTTAAATAATTGTAATAGCATAATGTAAACACTATAATGAACATCAGTCTTAATAGTTCTCTTGACAGAGCTCATCAACGAATGTTACATCTTCCCCCGACACTTCGATGACGTACAAGGTGAAAGAGAAGATGGAAACATTATTGAGTTTGAAATGATAATGGCGAGAAATCTGGACAACGGTGAAGGATAAAACCCCGTTGACTCATGGGTAAATATAGATAATGGCCGTCAGAAGTCAGGAGACGCAGATACTGACACCCGTCCCCGCAAAAATGGATACAGAAACCAAAGTAATCATTGTTTATGTTTATTTCCTGGTCTAGAAGGCATAGTTGGATGCAGTTAAAATGTTAATGTAGTCTATTAAAGGAGGAGATAGCAGCGTAGAATACATTTGGTGTTTCATTATTTAATTTCTGGTGTGGTTTAGTGTTTTCTTTAGTGTGCAGGACTTGGGATAACTACCTCACATGTGCTTTTGTTGACATCGGTCTGTGACCAATGAAGGTAGCCTGTGTCTGTTAGAGACTGATTATTGTGTAATAATTGATTTATAAAAGTGCTGCATTATTTATGCTTCACATACCACTATTATCCCTCGGTTGTTGACGAGTCTTATATATTTTTTTAAAATATTATAAAATAAAAACATCGCGCTGAACACCAGACATGAATGAGAACAAATGTGACGGCTGAACTTAGTAACAGTAGTAACACTGTCACACTATAAAATCAAAAATACAATTCTAAACGGACTGGGCTGATTGTGTTGTTAGACTGATATTGGATATTGTTTAACTTTTAAAATTACATTTATTCTTGTGCCTTAATTTTAAAAAAAAAAAAAAAACAGTAAATTTAAAAGGACCAAATTCTTTTGTTAGATGCTTCTTCTTCTTCTTCTTCTTCGCGTTCACCAGGTAAACTCTGGCGGAAGGTTCTGGTTGCTCGTCCACTACTGAACTGCAGTCCTGCTCCAGAACCTGAGTGTTGCGTGTGCATCCAGTTTTACAGATCTCATTCTCTTGAATACAGACTGTTGGTTCCTTGCCTCTCTGGGATGTTAGTTTGTTAGATGCCGATTCTGGATGAGATTATTTAGATAGGAGCATCAGTTCAACCTATTAGTGTTGACATAATATAAGATAGATGTCTTCAAAGACGGTAAAACATGGGCTGTCACTATGAGTGAAATTATCATTTTATTTTTAAATTTATTGTCTTTTTCTTTAACTTGAATAATAGAATCAACTTTGATAAATATGAAAATAATTGGATAGCATAGCTTGATTCATAAAATAAATGAAAAAATAGTCATTAAATACACCAGATGAATTAATGATAATTTGTTCCCGTGTTTATCAATGATCAAAACCAAGAAAATTTAGAAATAATTAGATGGAATAGCAGGAAATTGTAATTGCATATCTTAGTGAAATAACGTAAACAAAAATGAAAAGCACAAGTAAGTAGTAAGTTGTGTTGCTACACACAGTTGCAAAGAACAATTTAGAATTAAATATATCAGCCAACTCAGCAGCTAGAGCGAATAACATGAGAACAGCAGGCTACGAGACTTGGGGCTGACCAAGAAACTTTCTTAGAAAGATATGGGTGGATAAAGTTTGGCTGGGGTAAAAGGTGCACTGCCACTACAGAATCCCAGTAATAATTGACATTCATTAACACAAACTATGCATTTAGCAAAAAACATGAAACTACATGTAACTCCTTGAGACACATTGCAACGTAAGCAGTAGGACACAAGAAGCAAATTTATTGACCATCTATACTGTGAATGATGCTGCAATTATTTCCAGAATATGTGGTTCAGATTTAAAAGCCAGATTTTAAGGCAGGAATGTCTGCTACACTAGAAAGTTGGTAGAGTTTATAAATAATTTATGACCAGGTTGGCTTTGAAGTCTCCTTATGGTTATTTATAAGATGTTATTGGAAACTATACTTACTAAATTATTAATTTTTTGCTATTTTTCATATTTTTACCTCATAATAGTTTGTGCAGTTCTCCCAGTTTGAAACACAGGCTTAGTTGCTTTTTAAATGTTCGTTTTTTTTAACAAATCATTTTCACCCCTAAAATTATTTTGTGTTTGTGTGTGTTATTCCTTCCAGATTATTTGTTATTGTTACACCTAAGTTTTTCACTACTAATTATTTTGTTTGCTCATACATACTTTCCAATGTTGGCATGAATGTATGTGCGTATCTTTCTTCTTCTTCGCATTCACCAGCTGTACACTCTGGCGGAAAGTTCTGGTTGCTCGTCCACTACTGAACTGCAGTCCTGCTCCAGAACCTGAGTGTTGCGTGTGCATCAGTTTTACAGATATCATTCTCTTGAATACAGACGGTTGGTTCCTTGCCTCTCCGGCAGATGCACTCCGACTTCAAAGGAAGCTCCCCAATTAGTCGACTCTTACGACATGCTTTTGGGGAGGCAGTGGGTCTATTCTTGTTTTCCCCACAGTGGGGCCCCGGAACCCAAACGGGGGTGCGTATCTTTCATTTTGTCGAGCTTCTCAAGTCAAATTTTGGCTCATCACAATGTGTGAGTTAATTTTCCTACCTTCACTTATTACATTAAACACAAAAATGCTTTTTGCTGGTATATTGCGAACACAACTAATTTTTTAAAATGTACTTTTTCAGTCTACTGAAGCATTTCCAGACTTGATATCTGCTGCCCTTCATGGAGCTGGTATTTCAGGTGACGACTTAGCATTTGATTTTGACCTGAGTGATTTCCAGGACACTACAGAGGCAACAGCTCTGAATGGGATATCTTACATCAAGGTATTAACTGCCTACCTACCTGCACACATGCTTTTTTACCTAGTAGTCTAGTTTCATACCATCCTAACCTGGCTGACTACTTACCTGTCATGTCCCCGTCTGTCGTTGATACTGGCCGCTTGTTTCTTGCTTTGTTACCTAGCAGTCTACTTTCTTACCATCCTAACCTGGCTGACTACTTACCTGTCATGTCCCTGTCTGTCTTTGATACTGGCCGCTTGTTTCTTGCTTTGTTACCTAGCAGTCTACTTTCTTACCATCCTAACCTGGCTGACTACTTACCTGTCATGTCCCTGTCTGTCTTTGATACTGGCCGCTTCTTTCTTGCTTTGTTACCTAGCAGTCTACTTTCTTACCATCCTAACCTGGCTGACTACTTACCTGTCATGTCCCTGTCTGTCTTTAATACTGGCCGCTTGTTTCTTGCTTTGTTACCTAGCAGTCTACTTTCATACCATCCTAACCTGGCTGACTACTTACCTTTCATGTCCCTGTCTGTCTTTGATACTGGCCGCTTGTTTCTTGCTTTGTTACCTAGTAGTCTACTTTCATACCATCCTATCCTGGCTGACTTTCATGTCCCTGTCTGTCTATTGCTGCTCCAATTTACAGATCTGGCTTGCATGCAGGTTGTTCGTTTTACATGTTTTGGTAGGGTGGCAGTGGGTCCTGTCACCCCCCATCCCCATAGGGTCTAGTAGCCCACAAAGGGATTCTTTGCTAAATTAGATTCCATTTACATTAGAAAATTTTTAAGCAGACCAGCTAGTTCATATCACATGTGTTGCAGAATAGAAGTCAGTTGCAAACCCAAGAAAGCATCACATTAACCACATTCAAAAAGCTAGACACATGATAGATACTATGTCTAGGGTGAATCATGCGCTTTGTGTTGCTTGAGACTGCTAGAATGAAAGCACATATCCCATTTCTTCAAATTGTACCGTATTAGATGTATGTGCAATGTTTATGGACCTGTCACACTTAATGGGGAAGGTGGTTTGTATCCTACGTGTTATTCTACTTTCATAATGCCAATTTTAGGCTGAGTTGACCTGGGAACTCTGATCAGTTAAAACTACTTTCTGCATTCACTCTGTTGGTCGGCATGTAGTGTGGTTTACAGGTAGACTGTGATATCTGTGTCTTTTGGTCCAACACATCTGATTTTTAGCAAGCCTTAATTAACCTGCTTTTATTACCTGTTGGGGGGGGGGGGGGGGTACAGTGGCTCTTTAATGCCTAGAACTCATACAGGAATATTGGGATTTAAACTGGTTACTACTGAATAGTGCATGCTCAGTACTGCACTAGTGGTTCTCTGGACTGCACAAAAAAAATTGATAAGCAATTGATTTGGGAGGAAGGATTTTAGATTTAATGTTTAATTTAGCGTTTTGTTTTCACAATTCCAGGACGAATCTCAGATGTCTGCCACACAAGTACTGCAGCCGACTCCAGTTCAGGCAGTTGTTGATAGCAGCAGCTCAGCCAACATTATGCGGCAACTTGCTAGCCACGCCCAACAGCAAATGCGTCCGTCGATGCAAACCATACAGCCAATGACAATAATCAACCCCCCTAATGCCCGACAGCAAAACATTGTTACATCAAACGTCACATTACCAGGTGTGGTGCGGACAATATCTCAAACACAACAGGGTCAAATAATGACCCAGGCTGTCCCTCAAGGCGTACAGTCATTTCGTATTATAAGGACTCCTACAAGTACTGCCCGCACTCACACTCAAATTTTACAGCCATCGCTACAACAATCAACGATTCGGGGCCAGGCAGCAAATAGACATATAGTCCAGACCACATCTCCTCAGGTAACTTGAATGTGTCTTGTACCCTCTCATAGCCTAAGGAAAATGGCAGTCAGATTATTTGCATCTCTCTTTGTTACTTATGTTGAAAATCTGAAGCACAATGTAAAATGCAAATAAAGAGCTCACCGGTGGGAATGCCAAAGAGGCATACCAATACAACAGAACATTTCTACAGAAGTCTTTATCATTGGAATACCTGTGTATGTTTGTCGCCATCTGTTCGTCACTTTAGATGGCCAGTTTGACTGTACCTGCCCCATGTAATCATGTCATCATCTGTTCGTCATTTTAAATGACCAGTTTGACTGTGCTTCCCCATGTAATCATATGTCAATATCTGTTCGTCACTTTAGATGGGCAGTTTGACTGTGCCTGCCCCATGTAATCATGTGTCACCTTCTGTTTGTTGTTTTATATGGTCAATTTGACTGTGCCTGCCCCATGTGTCACCATATGTTCGTCACTTTAGATGGTCAGTTTGACTGTGCCTGCCCCATGTAATCATCTGTTCGTCATTTAAAATGACCAGTTTGACTGTGCTTCCTCATGTAATCATATGTCAATATCTGTTCGTCACTTTAGATGGGCAGTTTGACTGTGCCTGCCCCATGTAATCATGTGTCACCTGTTTGTTCGTCACTTTAGATGGTCAGTTTGACTGTGCCTGCCCCATGTAATCATGTGTCACCTTCTGTTTGTTGTTTTATATGGTCAGTTTGACTGTGCCTGCCCCATGTAATCATGTGTCACCATTTGTTCGTCACTTTAGATGGGCAGTTTGACTGTGCCTGCCCCATGTAATCATGTGTCACCATATGTTCGTCACTTTAGATGGGCAGTTTGACTGTGCCTGCCCCATGTAATCATATGTCACCATCTGTACACATAAGTAATGATGATGATGAAATCATCTTTTTACCCTGTGTGGGCTCTAGGGCCCCGTTTCTGGGATATCAGGATAGACCTATTATTTTTAAGAAGCACGTGATGTTGTGGGACAAATTAGGAATTAGCTAATAGATGTGCTTGATTAAAGGCACAGACTTTGCAGCCTAGCTGTGCCAACCACTACCCTTTTAAATGAAGATCTAATCCATTTATTTGTCAGTAGTTTAAATTTATGACAACAAAGTGTTTGCTTGACTCATCTTGTGGATTCCAGGGCTTTGTTTCTACAGTGACAATTCAGACTGTCAAAGTTGATTTCTTTGTTAGTGCTTAACCAAATACTTTTAATGCTGTTTAATCTTTGCACTGCTTTGTATGTGTGTGTAGAAAGAAATAATTTATGGATTATGATGTCTCCAGGTTATGAGTTCTTCGCTGCTGACCAATGGCTCTTCTGTGATATCATCTGGCAACAAAAACATCATCTGTATTCCCGCCTCCTTGAATGGGAATTTACAGCAGACCCAGGTAAGCGGGACGTATGTGAGAATGCAAGACGTTTTTTGCTACATTTTTTAAAAATGTAGTAAAATTGTATTAAATAATAACCGAGGCTTTGGATCTGGCCAGTACATCATCAAGAGAAAAAGGCAGACTTAAAAGCAGTGGAAAGATGCGAGGAAATTTTGACAAGTACAAATCTGATGACATACCTCGGAGTGAAGTTTAATTGGTTTGATTGCAGCCTATACTTCAAAGAACATGTTGACCATGTTATAACAAGAACACGCAAATGCCTGTCAGCAATGAGGGTCCTGGCAACCGCTAATACTGAGCAGATACTTCTTCTGTTCCAGGGACTTGTTCTTTTCCCGTAGAATATTCTCTTGCCATTCTCACTGTCAGCCATATTCAGATTAAAGGTGCAAAATGAAGCAATGTGCATTATTCTGGGGTGCACTGGAGACACCTCTTGTGTAGCAGTCAGAGAACTTTTCAACTTCCCAACCATGAACTACAAGATCAAGATCTGGAGGGCTTGTGCATACCTCAAGATAAGCTCAGATCTGAAGCACCCTTTGCACCACATGCTTTTCAGGAATAGGGGCAAATCATGGCTGGGTAGGGCAGAGGATGACATCCTGCAGGTCTGCAGCTAAAAGATATCCATCCAGGTGAGGAATGGATACCAGCGCCTAAAGTGCCTGATCTCACATTCTCATGTGTTGTCACGCTTGATAGTTTCAGGAGCTGTCAATGCCGAGGTATGCGCGCTTATCAATGATAAGTCAGATGAGACAAATGTGCTGATTTTCACAGATAGGTCAGTTATACAAGGACATAAGAGTGCCTGGGCATTTACAGCTCGCTCTTCAGGCAGAACAGTTCAAGAAGCCAGCGGCACTTTCTCCATGACTGCGAGCAGCATGACGATGGAGGTATTGGCGGTGACACAACTTTCATTATGGCTAAAATCACAGGCAGGCTGGTTACGCAAACAGTGGATTGAGTCATTGCAAAACTCTCCTGTGTGTAAAGTTACCTTCATATTTGTCCCAGGGTATTGTTGGTAATGAAAGAGCTGATAGACTAGGGGGTGCTGCATTATTTAAAGATGGCGGTCCGATGGATCTTGCAGACATTGTCAATGCCCGATAGGACAATCAGGGATTTTGGATTTTGTCCACATCATTGCTAAGAATACAATTGTAAGTAAAGATCGGCACAGCCAAGCATGAGAAGCACACTGGACGCACACTAAATCTTGTCAACCAGCATAGAACTGGCACTATTAACTGCTCGACACTGATGAATATGTTGAGGAGAGGGGGGACTAAGCACCTGTGGATGTGTCCGGAGCGCTGCAAATATAATCCAGCTCATAATTCTTTTGAGTATTCCAGAACTGACAGGCACATAATTGTAAGTTCAACAGTAACATCACACAACTCATGTTTAGACCTGGATAGACAAAGAGCAGTTACTTTTAAAGTCTGGTACATTCGCAGCATGTTTTAGCTGTAGAGCCAAAGCATTCATGTTCATGATAACTCCAGTTTCTTGGAAGTATTGTTGGTGATGTTTCATTGACATGTAGTTTTATCCGCGGACATTAGATGAATAGTTTGTATAAATTTTTTTTATTTTTTTTTGGCCAGGTTTTTATCCAGTCCAGTAACGGCGGTGGTTTAGGTTCAGGTCAGGTCTTGAAAGTGACAGCAAGAGGGGGGAAAGCCGTCACGACAGAGGATATCACCAAAATTGTCAGCTCATTGCCAAATCTTAAGAGTGGGTCTAGGATTATAGTCAACACAACTACAGGTCACTTGATGGATCCAAAGGTGGGTTTGTCAGTAGGAATAGAAGCTACTGATTTGTCTTTATGTTCTGCTTTCCTGTGTTCATCAAATTCACGTCTTTTTTTTATAAAAAGTATCTTCTTCCATTTTCCTACAGTATTGAATAATCAAACTGTTGATGTTTGTGTTCTGGTTATGTACAAAAGAGCTGAGGTATTTCTTCTTCTTTTTTGTTGTTTATCTCATTCGGATACTACAGTAAAAAAAAAACATTTGCAAATTTCCTCAATAAATTTATGTAAAGGTAGTTCCATGACAGGTCTGTGTATGTACAGCCACTGGGGTCTGCCAGAGACTGGGGTCTGTCTGTGACACTGGGGTCGTACGGCCACTGGGGTCCATGGCAGCCACTGCCATTTACAGCCACTGGGGTCTGGGAAGTCTGTTTAAGAGCCACTGGGGCCTTTTTTTCTAGACCGTAGCATTGGAGATGAGTTGTTCACTACCCTTCCTCTGCAATTTTCAGGAAATAACCAAAGCTGGGTTAGAGCTGTACTTGTCAGAAAAAGAAATTGTGTTTCTGAAGATTGAACTGGGACTACTTCCTAGCTAGTAAGGTGCACTAACCACAAAGCCACTTAGGTTTAAATATACTCATAGTTCTATTTGAAGCTAAGCATATATTCTTTTAATAGCCTTGCCTGTCTGCCCATAGGTCTGGTGTTTAAATCCTCACATAACCAATTTTTTTCTAAAACCGGCGCTAACTTCCAGGTCATCCCAGCCTAAAGTGGGTACCAATTGAAGTCCTGGGAATTCAAGGTCACAACTGATGCTGACCACTTTATTAGTTTATTTATGAGTAGCATCATGTGGCTGAAGCAGTATATGCGAGTTTTTTTTTGGGGGGGGGGGGGGGAGCACTACCCCAACAAGCATGCTGTAAAAGATGACATTTAAGTACAGAAGTACATAATGACTAGAACTTCCTGTCAAATGTTTCATCAGGAGAACGCTAAGGAGATGCACCATATGGGTAAAGGAAAAATTCCCGTTACACTTTTTTCCCTCTAAAAATAATTATTTTTTAAGGAAATATTTAATGAATATCTAACGAACGACCATGCTGTTGTTACAGTCTTCTGTTCAGCTGGTGTCTAAACCCGGCACTTCAGGGTTTCACGGTGGCACAGTTCTAACCACACCAGCACTGCCAAGCTCCACCAACTCCATCATCAGCACCCTCAAGACCACAGCCCAGCAGATGCCCACCCAGGTGGTGACCATCCCCTCCCACCAAACCAAGATCTCACGCTTGCCTTACTCCCCGTTCCACAAGGTGGCTCAGATGTGCACACTGCCAAGTCTGCAGTCTTACAGCAGCATTCCCACAATCACAGACATGGTAGGTGTTGACATTGTAGTATTTTGTGTACTTGTTTGAAAGCTGATCTTGTAGATTGAGATAGGAGACTGGGCATCTATAGTATATTTGTCAGCTTGTTTAAATATGTCTTATAGATTGAGATAGGAGACGGGGTATGTATAGTATATTTGTCAGCTTGTTTGAATGCATCCTAAAGAGATAGGAGACAGGGAATCCAGGAAATCTACTATGTTTGTGAACCTCTTTGAAGTCTAGTCTTCCAGGTGTAAATAAAAATAATAGCATCTAGGACATCAGAAAGACAAGTCATATTATCCAGCTTTTTGATCTGCAAAATATGTACCTAGTTGAAATGCCACTTGTTTGCTTAACTACAGGTGGAAGATGGTTGTTATTATAGCTGGTAAAAGGAAGGGTAAACATTTGCTGTGACAGTGTTCACCTAATGCAAATGAGCACTTTTTGAGGGGGAACCATAAAGATGTAAACAAGCTTAAATTGATGTCGATACACTCAGGGTGACATGTGAAAGTGCACAATGTAAAAGAAGGGGTGAAAGGCACATTTTATGAAGTGTTATTTACAGAACTTTTGTTTAACTACTTTCGGCATAAAACACGGAAGTCTTAAGTTAAATCTGATACATTGACCCCAGAAAATGTCATTTACATTCAGAATGGAGCGGAGATTTCCCACACAGTCAAGAGCTGAAGTGTACTCTCTGAGGAATGCTGCAGAGCTACCCTTCCCCTCTCCAACTTCAAAAGTGAGTGGGGATTCACCTCATTAGCTCCCAGGTTTCTTCCTTCAGATGTTGTCCCTGAGTTAATTGATAGTGAAACAATGAAAGAAACATGTAACAGTACCTCCCATCCTTACACTTCCCATTAAGATGTATCTAAAACATGCTTGCTGTCATGTATATAAACATAAATATGGCCCACCCTGTACATGCTCGAAGCAAAATTACATTCATTTCAAATTCGTATTTCTATGGTTTGGGTGCTCTTGATTGTAACTTCAGCAAATATGTCCTTGTCAGCTAGTTATATGAACGAAAGATTCTCTTAGCTGCATAGGGTCAATCCTGGTGTATTCAAGTGAGTCATGGACAGTCACCAACTTTGTGAGAAAATTAATGGCATATGAAGAGATTGTTGTTTTGAATTATGGAGTGCCCCAAGGAAAGACACTTATCTCAGGAAAGACCTGCACCTCAGCTTGAACACTTCTCCATAACGCGTTTCCTCACATCTTCTTGTAAAATATGTGTTGGATTATTTGCATATTTGCTTGAGCGTTTTCTGACCCAAAATATTGATTTGTATGCACGTTGTTTTTTTTCAGCAGGACATAAACATGGGCCATATACGAATGTCAATGTCCAGCAAGGATTTATCCAAAGCCTGGACTGATCACAATACCCTGAGGAGAATACACAGTACACAGGTGGGTGGTTTGACACATTTCTCTGGCTCTTATCAAGATGACTTTACTCCTTTTGTAGGAGGATAGAATAATACTCACTGCCTCTGGAAAAGCATGTCATAAAAGCTGATTTTCTTGCAAAATTTGTAAATAAACTATTGGTAAAACATAGTACAAGCTAAATTCAACTTCAGGAACAAAAGTCCAGAAGTTGATGAACAATCAGAATTATAATCCTGAGTGGTAAGCATTTTATTTTTGGGAAAATTACTGTTGCTACAAACAGAACTTTACACCAGAGTTTACAGCTGGTGAAGAGTTTACAGCTGGTGAAGTAGAAGACGACTTTATTGCAAATTTTTTTGGATAATGAAAGACTTCATTGTAAATGTCAGAACTGTAGTTGGTATGTAGTTTTATTTATGCACATTAAATGTGCACAAAAGCGTCGACTTAAACACAGTCCATACATTTCAGGGTTCATTGTGTTAACTGAGTATCGTTTCTTCTTTTTGTTCATGTTGGGGTGTTAGTATATGTTTTCTTTTGGGGTGACTGTATATGAACAAGTTCTTGCATATGTAGGGCTGTATGTATGGGTGTGTGACTGTATGGGTAATGTGTATGATTACATGCTTGTTTATAAACATAACTTGCATTATTGATAACATGCAACTGCAGTCGGAAATATGAGTGCTTGAAAGTGCAGAATGTAAGACGGGCCTGAGTGCCCAATTTGTAACCCAGTTTGTTTGATCATTCATTCATTCATTTGTGTACACTGGCTGTAAAATAAAACTGAAAGAATGGGTGGAATGTTCTGGTCCACTTCTGCACTGTTGTCCTGTTCCAGAATCTCAGTGTTGTGCGCACATCTGTTTTACAGATATTAATTTTTGTTTTTGAGAGCTTTGGTTCGTTGCTCTCAGGCAGATTAACTCCAACTTCGAAGAAAGCTCCCTGTTGGACTCTTGTGACACTCTTTTCGGCAGACAGTGAATCTGTTCCAGTTTCCCCCTCAGTGGGGCCCAGTAGCCCACACAGGGAATTTGGATATAAAATTATTATGTTAATAATATGAGAGCCAGTAAGCACTCAATGCTTTCCAAAGCCTGTGTGATTTGTTGTACACAGAAACTCCACAAGTATTCAAGGCCTGTTTCTGTTACACAACACTTAATCTGCCTGGATTATTTGTGTATCAGGTATAGCTTTATCACCTATGATTTATATTTTGCTTAAAAAAAAAGAATATTAACATTATTATTGCAGTTGATAATTGTAAGTGGCCAGGATTAACGACATGAAATGCTCCCACAAAGCATCCTGTATGTAGGCAAAGTTGCTTGTCCTGTTTAAATATAATGCTTTTACATGGTTTTTCTCTCCGTCTCGTCTCTGCAGAGTTTGCTGCGACCTGTGCACGATTGTCAGCACGATGAAGAGGAGATAGAGGAGGAGGTGGAGGAGTTGGGTCGTGCTGAAACATACGCTGACTACAAGCCTATGAAATGTACGTGTTTCATGTGGACAATTTTAAAGTAGTTATAATTATATTAGTGTTTCATTTGTGCGTAGTGTGAAACTCATTGCTTCCATCAGTTTATGTAAAAATCAGACAATCAATGCAGTGACCTATTACCGTCTGCACTTACAACCACAGAAAATAATTAAATAAATAAAAATAAAATATAAATAAAGATTTGTGTTGTCAAAACTTTCCAGGAACAGATTGTACTTAGAAATTAAATTTTTATATTTTGTTCATTATTCATGAGAATTAAAATGGTGTTGAAAAATATAAATTTGAGACCTAAATGAAACTTGGTTGTAAGTCAGTAATTGCTTCCTCCTAATCCATTCTTTTGCAGTATACTGCTTTCATTTTGAAGAATTGTTAAATGCAAAAAAATTCTCAGGAATTACAGTTTGGCCACTGTTGGTTCTTTTTTGTGCGATTTGTGGCACCACACCAAAGCACAAATGTCCATTGTCAGGACTCATAACGAACTGTAGTAAGACTAAGCCTAATTTTGCGGTGTTGCTAAGAATATTAGAACTGGGAGTAAAGATCAGCATAGCCAAGTATAAGAGGCACGCTGGACACACAAGAAGCATAGGACTAACACTATTAAATGGATTGAATATGTTGAAGGGAAAATCTGAGCACCTTAAGATATGTCCAGAGTGCTGTGAAGATAATCCAACTCATAACTCACACAACTGAGTAATGACGACTGTCAGGGCTCGTAAAGAACACCTAACTACCCTGCATGTTGTCAGTGGTGTATAGTGAGGTGTTGCACAAAATTGGATAGCTAATTCTGTTGAAAACTTTAGCTACAAAATCCAAATCTGGAACAAGTCTTCAGTCATAGTTTCACCTGTAAGGTAAATGAGCCATCCTACCCATAATTACTACAGCAGAAACCACACAGAATGCACACTGCTGTCCTTTATGGAAATTTGTACAGACTGCAGTCTTTGCAAAACCAGTAACATACTTGCAGTAAATGCATATGGTAACTGTCAGAAGTGCCAACACAAACAGCCCAACATTAGGAATTTATAAGGCTTGGACTTCTTTAGGTAAAAAAAAAAGTTCAGTATTTTAAAACATTTAGAATCTATCTGGATGAAAATAATACAGGGGTATATGTCTTCTTATTTTCTACAGTGAATTTTGGCAAGAAACACCCGGATGCAGTTGTAGAAACAAGTTCGTTGTCCAGTGTGGAGCCGCCTGATGTAAATTATCAGCTAAAAATTCTCGACGAAGGAGTTGACGAGGGTGGTCGGCTGTCCGCGCTGCAGCTGGAGGCTATAACTTATGCTTGCCAGAAACATATGACATTTCTGCCTAATGGACAGAGAGCTGGTTATCTCATTGGTTAGTTATCATTACTGTTGATTTCACACAGAGATTTTGTTCTAAATATATAAACATATGTAAAATATCCACATACTTATCAGTTAGTAATTTTTTCTTAAGCCTAGGGTGCCGCACAGGTCATAGCTCTCCATGGCTGGTGGTTCATTGACACCTGTTTTAGGTCTTGGATGTTCATTAGGTCCATGGTTGAGCCTTTCCTGATGATGGTTCTATACAGGGTCTCTCTTGGTCTTCCTCATTTTCTTTTCCCGTCCGGTGTCCATATGAGGTCTTGATATGTGAGTCTGGTCTTAATCATTGTGAGCACTTTCTTATAAGATTGGATACATTAATCTTGCTTCATCTCTTGTCTTATTTGCATACTGGATCTGAAATCCGTCCATTGGGGATATAGTATTCTTCTAAGATATCTGTTATTTAATTTTATAGTTAAAAAAAAAAACCTAGAGCAACTAATCAGAGGTTGACATTAGCCACAAATTGGTTTGGTCCAATCCCCTGGAAATATCACTTTACCGACACTTCACTGCTGGTGGCTTGTTGATAAGTCTGGCTAACATCACTGGTTCCATCTGCACCTGTGCAAACATTTAAGAAGTCTACTTAATTCTCAGCTGCAGTCATCTTGACTGACTGACTGACTTCTCTTAGTATCTGGAATTTAATAATATTCTGGTCTATAAATGGAATGTTTTCCCTTCGGGTTTTTTTTTGACAATTATTATATTATACAATTATTAACAGTTCTAATGTTATTTGCACCAGGAGAGACGGCTAAATAGCTTTAACATGCAGTGCCTGAGAATAATACTAAGCATAAAGTGGCAGGACAAGATCACAAACACTGAGGTATTGGAAAGAGCAGGTACTAAAACAATCTTTTCAGTGCTCAGTCTAGGAAGGCTGAGGTGGCTGGGTCACACCTGGAGAATGGGTGATGGCAAAATCCCTAAGCACATCCTTTATGATGAATTTAAGACAGGTAGAAGATGTCAAGGCTGACCTCTACCTCGATATAAAGAAAGCAGGACATGAATAATATTGATGTGAACTCAAACAAAATGTGTTGTGTGTAGAGAGCACACCAGATGGAAATAAGAATGATTGCAGAAAGGATGAGATCCGGGCGTCTGATAAAAAACGGACTAAACAAAAATGTGACAACGGTCCTGAAATCTCATGCTATAATTGTGGAACACTTCTTAACACAGGCAGGTCTTGCTAGTCACATTCGCCATCGCCATACGCTGTGAGTCCCATGCCTCTTCATAGCTCAAGAGGATACTGTCGTCTGGGAAGACAAAATAATGTTACATGTGACACCTGCTTACTCATAGAACATGTCTTACGATCAGTTTTGTTTTGAACCCCGACCCTTTCAGGTGATGGTGCTGGTGTTGGAAAGGGCAGAACTATTGCTGGTGTTATATTTGAAAATTACGTACATCGAAGGAAACGGGCCTTATGGTGAGAGCCTTGTGATTCACTTTGAAGTTCTTATGTTATTGTGCATAAGTTGCTTAGCTCTCTCCTCACCATCTTCCCCTAAAATTGGATTGTACCAAGATAGAGACATTGTTGGTAAATGTAAAATGCATGATCATTTAGAAGTTATGAAACATTTCAGGTGAAATCAACCAGAGGAAAATTAGGTAGACAAATGTGTAAAGTTTTAACAGCGGGGTCCCAGATAAACTGGAAACTACCTTTTCTGGAACTAACAAGAAAAGGCATTTGAAATATTTAGGCCACATTAAAAAAAACTTTTCAAGGAAAAGGCTAGTTGCCTGTCCTTTACAGCAGGCATGTCAAACTGGCCTACGGCCCTTTGCAGGCACATCTGTGGCCCCCAGAAATGAAATATTCTGCAATACTTTTTATTAAACAACTCCAATTAGTTACAGCGTGTGTTCCTTATGACGACAAAATTTGACCCGTACCCCCTCAAGGGATACTCAGTTTTCGCATACCAGTTTTACAAGACTTTGTAGAACCAACCCCTGCATTGTTTAGCTGTTCATTATTTCACTAGGCAATTTTACGTTCAGTTGTTTGCTGTTGCCACTGAACGGTCGGCTGTCAGTACCACTGACTGCAGCTGGGATTGAAACCGACACCATGGAATTACAAAGTACGTTCACAACGCCTCCAGGCATAATAAAACAAGTCTTTACAAAATCTATACTGGAGGGAAAAGTTGAAGGCAAGAGAAAACAGTGATACAGGTGGGGGGACAACATCAAGAGATTGACAGACAGCACTGAGAGCCACCAAGACTAGAGAGAGGGTGTGTTGGAGATTCATTGCAGGCAACCTTCACTGTGGAAACTGATTTTATTTGCATAGTCAACAGAGGAATCCTTAATGACAGAAGAGAGACAGTTGAGTGATTGTGGAAAGGCACGAGGGAACTACAAGCAACAGATAAGGATAAAAAGGATTGAGGGCATTACCTGAGTATAAAGTCATGACTTATGCCCAACTCAAGAGATACAAGGCATTAAAGAAAAACATAAGCTAATGCGATGATTGTTGATCTGGTTGTTTTGCAAGCAAATGTTTTGTTGTTTTGCCTGTGTAGGTTGAGTGTGTCCAATGACTTAAAAGTTGATGCTGAGAGAGATCTGCGGGACATTGGTGCTAGCCACATCGATGTGTATCCACTCAATAAGGTTGGTAATCATTGTCTGTCCTTTCCTTGGATTACGCTGTCTGTGTCTGCTGGGGAGTGGACAAAGTGGAGACAGTTTGGCCTTTATACTTAATTTTTTTCTGATCTTGTCTGTAGGTTATGTGAGTTGCAGATTGTCTTCCAGTCCCTAAGGAATTAAATAGGGCTTTTGAGCAGAAATACTGTAGATAGATACTCAGAAAACAACGGACAAAGATGAAAATAAATACTGACTTTCTAAAAGATCGGATTAGTAAATAAACAGCATCTTGTCTTGGAAGTTAAAGTATATAAAGTGATGAGGCAGATTGGAATAAATAATATCAGAAGGCATGGTACCAGGAAGGAGGGACAGGGGCCAATCACCATGAAGATGCTCACAGGAAATTGACTTCTTGGATATGAAAGTGCATGAGGCGGGAGACCTGGTGAGAGACCTAGCTTCTTTCAAGCAGTCTGTGATGAGAGTGATGTTCTGCAAAGTACCCACTACATGATGATTGTCATGCAGAAATTTCTTTTATAATCAGATGATTGTAACCAGGAAGGCAACAAAGGCTTGAAGTTAGATATATTGGCTGAAAGGCTCAAATTGTGATGCCTTTCTGTAGACACAGGACAATTGCTACCTAAAATAGACGATGTTGATAAGGAAGACATTTTTACATGAAATATTTTTTCAGTTGAATGGCATATTTTTTAACCATATTCTATTTTTCAGTTCAAATATTATTCCAAGCTCTCCAGCAAGGAAAACAACAGCTGCAAGAAGGGTGTGATTTTTGCAACTTACTCCTCTCTGATTGGTGAGAGCCAGGCAGGCGGCAAATACAACACTCGCCTGAAACAGTTGCTCAAGTGGCTTGGCCATGACTTTGAAGGAGTTGTATCCTTTTGTTGTTCATCGGAAACAGTTTTTTGTCACAGCTTAGAAGGCAGTCTTTAAACTGTTAGTAAACAGAAACATTTCTTTTGATTTCCGTGAGTGCATGTATGATCTGTTTCCAGCGATGTCTGTTCTTGGAAGAGCAGAAATAACAAATGCTGTCAATGTTGTGTTGCCTCTTTCTAATTGTTAAGCCGTTTGTCCCATGCTGTCAGTTTGATAGCTTTAGTTTCAGACTTCGATAAACTCTGACCCTCTGACCTTCAAGCAATTTTTTTAAAAAGAAGTTTGTCCCCATAACTGCAACATTATTTTTACATGTGTCTTTCAGTTGCTCCATTTCTGAGTCACTTTTCACATCTTGAGTCCAGGCATCAAATGCCCGCAAAAGTTGTATGTGTTGGCCGATAGCCGCAAATATCCAGCCATGCTATAAACGGTCACAACACTGAAGAAGAATTATTATCTTCCACGCATTCAACATTTGTATGTGCCAAAATTATTTAATTTTCCCCGCTTCTGTATAATCTGGTATTGTTCAGTTCTGGAAATCTTGGTGTGCCCGTAATATTTGACCCAGATGTTGAGTCTTGTCACACAATTCCTCAGAGTGTTGTTCTTAGTCCTGGGGAAACATTGCAACCCATGACCTTTATTGCTCTGTCAGCAGAATCTTGCCTAACTAGGAAAGAATGTTCTGGTTGTCTTATCCACTTCTTGACTCTAGTATTTCATAGCTTGAGTTTTGCCTGCACATTCATTATACAGATCTGGTTTATTTGTATGCAGAGTGTTGGTTCCTCACCTCTCTGGTGAAAAGAAAACCCCTAATTAGTTTACTCTTATGACATGCTTATTATGGGGTAATGGGTCTTCCTCCTCATTTCTTCCCGTACAGGGGAGCTCCGGAACTTGTTCGGGAACTGGGGTTTTAAACCAACACTTCATTGTTAAGTCTCTTAACCCACTTGTACAGATTGTGTTTGATGAGTGTCACAAAGCCAAGAATCTCTGCCACACCCTGGCTCCAGCAAACCCACACAAAAACCGGCCCAGACAGTCCTGGAGCTGCAGAACCGTTTTTGCCGAAGGCCAGGGTCATCTACGCATCTGCTACGGGGCGTCCCTGAACCAAAGAAACATGGCTTACATGACTCGATTGGGCCTCTGGGGGAAGGAATGCCCCTTTAGGGAATTCAATGAGTCATCAGACTGTGGAACGGAGGTGGGTATTTGTGAAAAGTAGTGATTATTGTCCGGTGTCTGTGTACATGTGGAGGTGTAATGGTTGGTGTTTGTTATTCTTATGTGTTAACTCTAGCTCTAGATTACTGTTGCCCAGCAAAACAGACTAGTGTATAGTGGATAGTTACAGTTGACTGATGCTGCTGTGAATGAATAGCTGGTGAAATTGAGACACTGCTACAAGATACAATCAATAGAAATTCATGTCCAGGTGACATCATTATACATATGAATGGGTCTGTAATGAGAGGTAAGATGAGTTGGTGTGGTTTTAAATGTGAACTGTTTGAAAACAGACAGCCTGGAGTGTACTGTTCTGACATCCAGTATGATAATGAAGGTGGAGTCAGTGACAGTTCTCTGATAGCCTGAGCGCAGCAGAGCCTGACACATTGTGATTAGATTCACAGAGCACGCTATAGAAAATTGAAACACTTTCCTACATGTAGAGTGGCTTGCATCACTTGTAACATAACCAATAGGCTGATAGTTTAGCTGCCTCTCCTCTGGGCTGCCAGCTACTTTATGATAAAGTGGATGTGTTGATGGAATCTCTGGAATCAAATGGATAGTGCAGTAGAACAAACAGAGAATACATGTACTGAAAGATGAATTAAGAATGAGTAGAGGTTATCAAAGATGTTTAACACCCCGGGGAAAAGAGGCAGACTTTTGATCAAGTTGCAGCTGGTACTATTAGTGTGTCGACTTTTTGTTCACTACTCGGGAGGGAGACGGAGCACTTGCGGGAATGTCCAGAGTGCAGTGATGTCAGTTATTGTTCAGAGCATGATTTCCCTCACACTTCATTACCTGCTTTATCGAATAGTGTCCTCGGCATGGTTTGTTTCTTCTTGTTCTCTTATAAACATCTTGTATATTTTCTTTTTGTCTGCTACACTTATTCGTTCCACTTCTAATGCTGAACTGAGCAGCCCTGACCTATCTTCTCGCCCGTTCACAGAGGTGTTGGTGCTATGGAGCTGGTTGCCATGGATGCTAAACTGAGAGGGATGTACATCGCCAGGCAGCTGAGCTTCCACGGAGTCACATTCCGCATTGATGAAATTCCCCTGGAGCGAGACTTTGTCAAGATTTACAATCTGGCAGTGGAAATGGTGAGTGTGATATCAAATTATCCTCTGTTGTTTTCTGTTTCCCTTTGTGGTTTCTGGGGCTCCGTGTTGTTTCATGGAAGGGATTTCCTGAAATCGGATATCTTGTGGCAAAAGATGCAGATGTTGCAGCCTAGCTGTGAACCACAACACAAAATGTTAACAGCTCCTCTAAGTGCAAACACAGAACAAGAATGTGTATTCTTTGTCTTGTTACTGACATTATTTGTCTAGTTTTCTCAGATGAGGTCAAGAACCAGTGGGTCCTGTATGTGAATAGTGACTAGTCTGGAACATTGATGGCTGCCATCTTGTTGGTGAATGAGGTGCAGAAGCAGTGCTAATATAATTGTAAGGATCAAAGACAACCTTGACAACATTATTAGAGAAAGTGAAGCATGGGGAGATCAAAGACAACCATGACAATATAATTAGAAAGATAAGTCATGGATCACTGGCATTTTGAAGGCTAATAGACTTAAATGGTTGAAGCATATTGAGAGAATGTCTAGTGATAGAGAGGTGAAGACTGTACACAAAGGAGTTGAATGTCCGTAGACCATGAGGCAGACCAAGAAGCTGAAGGAGAGATAATATCCAGACAGACCTGCAAACACTTCGTGTCACCAACTGGGAAGAGAAGGCCAGCCAGAGAGATGAGTGGAGGGGGGTGATATCTGCAGAGTGAAAATCAAAGGCTGGGAATGCTGAAGGAGAAGAAATCATTGATGTGCCACTAGGTTTGCAGATGACTCACGGTTGATACCAAGGAAAAGAAACTGGCTTTTTAAAAATACTTTCAGAATTACGATGGAGACAATTCTCTCACATAATCTTATATCTGTCTAATTAATTTTGTCTAGGATTGCTTGTAACATTGCTGTTCATTTGTCTTTCAGTGGGTGGAAGCCAGAGAGATGTTTCAGCAGGCGGCCGAACTAATAGACGCAGAACATCGCATGAAGAAAACCATGTGGGGTCAGTTCTGGTCAGCCCACCAGCGCTTCTTCAAATATTTGTGTATCTCTTCCAAAGTGAATCACTGTATTGACCTGGCCAGGGAAGCGGTTAAAAACGGCAAGGTGGGTGATTTTTTAAAAAGAAATAATATTTATTATCAATAGACTTGATATTCCTGGGTGCTCTTCAATATAAAAGGTGATGAACTTTAAAAAAAAAGTACATCATGAGTGGGTCGAGCAGAGGATATCAGGCAGGTCATCAGTCTCGCAGACATCCATCATGGATGGGCCATGCACATTATATCAAGGCAGGTTAACAATCTCACAGACATCCATCTAACTGGGTCGGACAGAGGATATCAGGCAGGTCAACAGTCTCGCAGACATCCATCATGGCTGGGTCAGACACAAGATATCAAGACAGGCCAACAGTCTTGCAGACATCCATCATGGCCGGGTCGGACACAGGATATCAAGTCAGGTCAACAGTCTCGCAGACATCCATCATTGCTGGGTCGGACACAGGATATCAAGGCAGGTCAGCAGTCTTACAGACATCCACTCTGGTGAGGAATGGATACCTGTGCCTGAAGCACTCAGTCGCACCTTCTCCTGTGCCATCATTCTGGATAGGACTTGTCGGGAGCAGAGCTGTCAGTTCCGAGGTCCATGTGGCAGTGGAGGTGAGGCAGATCTGCTGATCTACAGAGATAGGTCCGTTGTATAAAGCTTGGGCATTTACAGCTCACTCTGCAGGCAGAATCCTTTCTCCGTGACTACCAGCAGCATGACGATGGAGGTGATGGCGGCCATACAAGATTTCATGTGGTTGGAATCACAGAGCTATTCCCAAGTGTGTGTTGAGTGATACTGTGAACATAATCTGATGGGTTGAGGCGTGGAGTTACCTTCATCTTTGTCCCACAGATATGGGTCGACCTGTAGTGCTGGTAAAAAAGTAGTTAGGTAGGCAAAGGCTTATATCTGATTTTTTAGCTAAATATCTTGAGGTTGACTTCTAACCGCCATTTATGGTAATTGTTTTCACAATCTGAATTACTGTTTGAGTCTTGTATTCTTGCGCCCGCTCTAGTATGTTATGGAAAATGCTGATCTGTATATCCTTCTAAAGCTACTTATTCAAGACCGTACTGCTGAGAATGATCCTAAAGGTGGACATCTTAAGCACAGATTTTGTGAATGGACACAGGCAGCCATTGTCATTTACGAGGGGAAGGGCATGTTATTGTTGTGACAACTTGGTATCATTTTTAATCAGTTGGATTGATAATGTGTGTTGTTGCTGCTTCCACAGTGTGTTGTCATCGGTCTTCAGTCGACTGGTGAGGCCAGGACCTTGGAGCAGGTCGAAGAAGCTGGTGGGGATCTCACAGACTTTGTCTCAACTGCCAAGTAAGTTATTACTGAACTACTTCTTTCGCCGGCTGGAAGCTCTGGTGGAAAGTCCTGGTTGTTCGTCCATTTGAACTTGGCATTGTTGCAAGGCATGAGTTTTGCATGTACATCCATTTGACTTGCTTGTTTGTGTGCAGTTTGTTGTTCCTTGCTGCTTGGGTAGATGCACTCCGACTTCGAATGAAGTCCCCAAACAGTCGACTCATACAAAATGCATGTTAGGATAGGAGGCAGTAGGTCTATTCTTGTTTACCCTGGTCGTGAACTATTGATCTTCAACTATTTTGTTTAAATATATTACCACATGTAGGTCAGGTCTTGGTCATATATGACTGGGCTACCGTATAACAGTAGCCGGTACCACCTGTCTTCTGTTACGCTGAATGTTGGGCGGCGTATACTAACCCAACATTCCACATTGTGCCAACGGCTTCGGGCAGAGGAGCGCATTGGGGAGAATACTAGCCTCATCCTTGGAAGAGGAAATGCAACCTGAAAACTTTGCGTTATGCCCAGGGCAGACCAGGCCCTTCACCTTGGCTGGCCGCTGGTCTAGGAGGGAAGCTCTGACAGGCGGACAGATAGAGCACTGCTCTTCTGATCTGGCAGCTTCTGCAACCTGCCTTGTTCCAAACATACTGGTTTTACCTTTCCTTTGGAGTAAACAAGGCAGGTCGAGAGAGGGATCAATATGCATGGGCAACATATGGTCTCTACAATACTGCCCAGGCTTTGTGCTATAGAGAGAAGGAACTTCGGCTCTCCTTTCAACTACGGCTGGTAGACAACAGGAGACGGCCGGTTAGTCAGAGTTATGTCCCCTGGCTGCAGTGCTATTACGGACTGGAGAAGGCACGAATAAAAAAACAGTGACGTCGACATGCCTGGCAGAGCCCCCGCTGCGACTCACATTAGCGACCCCGTTCAATTACCGCTTCTTGCGACGCATTACGGAGTGGACTAGAGGGAACGAAACAAGTGACATAGTTACTGTGTGTTGGCGATAGACAGCGTGCAGTGCCCTACTGTCATCATACGGGTAGGGTTTGGGTTAGGTTTAGGGTTAGCGTTGCTACGAGTTTGTGCGAGGACGAGATGCGGCGACACTAACAGTAACCCTACACCTAACCCTAACCAAAAACGTAACTGTATGATTATAGCAGGGCAGTGCGCGCTGTCTATCGCCAACACACAGTAATTATGTCATTTGTTTCGTTCCCTCCTTTCCGCTCCGTGATAGCACTGCAGCCAGATGACATAACCCCGACTAACCGGCAGTCTACCGGCCGTAGTTGAAAGGAGAGACGGAACTTCATCCCTTGCCTTCATCTCCCTAAGGACATCCTTTATGGGAAATTAAAAACAGGAAGATGTTGTGGCCATCCTCTACTACGTTATAAAGATGTGTGCAAGCGGGACATGAATGATATAGGTATTGAGGTGGACTTCTGGGAACAAAATGCCATGGACCGTGTTGTGTGGAAAGTGCATATCAGGAAGGAAATGAGACCGAAGGAGGAAATGATTACAGAAAGTATGAGAGCTGAGCATCTGAAAAGAAGCAGATTAAACACAAATGTTGTTAACAATGGTCCTGAAATCACATGCCATCATTGTGGAAGACTTTTCTTGACACGGGCGGGTCTTGCTAGTCATACTTGTCATCGCCATGGGCTGTGAGTCTCATGCCTCATAGCGCAATAAAACACTATCGTCTGGAAAGACTGAAAGGTGCCAATGATGATGAATGATGATATTACCACATGCATATTTAATTCTGGCTGGTAATTTATTCTTTAAGATGCCATGGTTGAAAATTTCTCAAATGAGCCAGGGCACACTTGGTTGCTTATGCCTTTTTCTCCTAACAAGGTTCTCCTGTTTGTTTTTGACAGAGGTGTGTTCCAGTCGCTGGTTGAGCGTCACTTCCCCGCTTCTGGAAAAGGCATAGCTCACAACTTCATTAAACAAATCACCAACAGCCACAGACAACGGGACTCCCCCGACCCATGGAAAAAAGGTTTGTGGAAAAACTTTGTATACAGTTTTTAGTATAAGTATTCAAGATGTTTGTAGAGAGGTTAAGATCCAGGGATAACTTATCACTTCTAATCATTTCTTAGCTGCATTATAAGAAGAAAAAAATAAAGGATGAAGACGATGAGAGACTGCGGAACATGAACTATTGATGCTGAAACGTGAACTATAGATTTTAGGTTTGGCAGAAGGGAAAAGAGACAGAAAGGTCAATACTAAGTGTGAGAAATATAATACGAGGATAAGCATTGATAAGACAGAGCAATGGTAATGGGTAGACAAGAAGAAACCATATCAATAAAAGTAAATAACACAGAAATAAAACAAATGAGCAAATTCAAATATTTAGGGTCATTTTTCACCTCAGATGGAAGAATGGATAGAGAAATCAACATTCGATTGTGAAAGCAAATCAGGTTATGGGAAAATTAACACAGCTTCTGACGTATAGAAAGATATCTCTGTCAGCCAAA